CATTTCTAAAATTGATCTTTGGTGTTCCTTCCAACTCTAAACCTACAATCTTGTGGCTATGAGTGATGGAATGCCACAGTCTCCAAAGAACTCTTCAAGTTGAGAAGGATCCACAGGGCACCTGTGGGTGTGGGTGTGTATGTGTGTGTATATACACATACACACACACACATATATGTATATATAATGTATATGTATGTATGTATGTATGTATATATATATAGTACACAGTGGGACTGAATAGATGGCAACAGATTACCAACCAAGAATCACACAAGAGGAATATAAAGGATGTCAACAGAGAGATGTATGATGAGAAAAGGAGGGCTGCCATATGGTGAGAAAAAGAGAAAGGACAGACACTCTGGGGTCACTGTTGATATCCATGAAATTTCAAGAATATGGATTCAGGGATTTATAGCAGGCAATGCATAAGAGTCATACAGAATGAGAAGGCATGGATGAGGCACCTGTTGAAGGGGTTACTCAAATTGGCAATATTATAGATTAAGAAGTTTTATGTAGTTTCCCCAGATTTTAGCAAATCATTTGAAAAAGTCGATTGTGTTCTTATGGACAAGAGAAAGGCATAGACTAGAAGACAGTGCAATTAGGTGGATTTAGAACTGGCAGAAAGACTGACTGCAAAGAGTTGCCACTAAGGGCTCAAAGTGAGCTTAGAAAGAAGTCTCCTGTGGAAAGTCCCAGGAATCTGTATTAACTGTAGGCTTTTTAAACACTTTTAATCACTGACCTAGATAAAGGCAGAGATAGAAAGCTTATCATTTCTTTTTTAGCTAATGTAAAGTTAAGAGGCACTACTAACATCAAGGATTTTACAGGCAGAATCAGGGGTGTGATGATTTCTGAGGTATAAATGTTCACAATGAAAATTTAACAATCAGTTCTGCAGGAGCTAGCTTTAGCAAACACCTGGGCAGGATCCAAAAAGATTTCCAAAGATTAGAACTTTGGGCTAAATGTAATAAAATAATTTTTTTTCTTATTGATGTCTTTTGTTTTTATATTACATTCATTTAAAAATATATTCTTACTCTCTTCCCTACCCACTGTGAGGGGTTCGTTTTTTTTTTTTTAATTCCCTTTCTATTTAGCTGCATCACAGCCATTTTATCTGCAACCAGCTGAGGCTATGGGATTTAGCACAATTAACAGAAGATGATTAACTGGTTAGAGGTAAAAGAACTCTGTCTCTGTTTTAAGGTAACCATTTGCTAGACCAACTCCTGTATCAGTTTACCAGTTGTAATTTTTTCCCCTTCTGCTATCTGTGACATGTAAACCTCCACCCTCCTCATTTGCCTGCTATAAATTTTACAAGCCAATCTTTGAAATGTTAAATCCTAATTGTATTTTTTTCTGTCATAAAATTATATAAGCCCTTGGGAAAACTTTGTCTATTGCCCAGAGGTAATTTAGAAACTCTTGAGCCTGTGCTCAAAGTATAATAAAACCTGGTTTTAAAATGTCTCTTCCTGTGGATAAGCATGATTTACAGCAATATCTATAAACAAATCACTGGCTATTTTCATATCACCACCAAGGCATCCTTCGTAACAAAGCAAAAAGGTTCAGTAAAACAAATTCAGACAGCAACTACAACCTCCCTACTGCTTGGGCTGCGTTTCCATCAAAGATGACTAGGCCAACTTGATCTGTAGCACATTCAGCTGAACCAGCCTAAATGTCACGCTTGGAGGGCTGACACCACAACGAAATCTGAAGGGGGATGAAGAGGCCCAGAAAAACAAAAACGCTTTGATTCTTGGAACTAGTGTTGAATGGTTCTTCTCTCTCTGAAAATCACTAATTCCAGGGCCCCAGAACAATGATACTTGTTGCCACTTAGTTCTGGGGCAAGCAAAGGAAGCAGGCTTGGACCAGCTTCAAGTCAGGTCTTGGCACGTCTTGACTGCAAGGAGAATGCTAGGGGCCACTATTTCCCCACCCCCAAACCCTCCTATCCTCCAAACTTCCCTAGTTCCCCTGAAGGCACCACAATTCTCATAGTTACCTAGGTTAATCTTGGAATCAATTTCCACTCTTCACTCCTCCTCACCCCACATCCAAAGAGGAGAGGGGTCTTTTCAATTCTGCCCCTACAACATTTCCTATTTTTCCCTTACCACCAAACTCAATACCCACATCAAGCCTCCCAAAGCAACAATTTATCTTGAGGGACACACTAAAGGTAGTATTTGCCAGGCAGGTTATGGCACCACCCCCTTCTCAAACACTACTGTAGGCCAGGGGTAGGGAACCTGGTGTAGGCAGTCCATGGCCCTACTCCCAAAAACCTCAGGAACAGCTATGGCCCCTAGGGTCAGTGGCTCTGCTTTCAGCACATCCCCACTGCCATCATTCAGAGGAAAAATCTTGTAAAGACCTGATATTGGGGTCACTTTGGGGATGTTTAGCAATGGCTTCTACAGGTAATGTAGTTCCCACCTCCTCAGCAACTCAGCTACTGAAAACTCAAAAAATAAAGTTCTTGGCACTGTCAAATGGGTCTACATCAGAAATATATAGTTTTATCATTAGGAAAAAAAAAAAACCACTAAAAAGATGCATTACCATATGTCTTGCCAGACACCCTAAGGATCACTGGGCCCTTTCCATCTGCTCAGCAGTTGAGGCCTCCTACGTGAGTTGTCTTTCCTTACTAGAACAGGAGCTTCTTGAGAGCAGGGGCTGTCACTCTATTTTCTCCCTGTATCTCTAGCAATTAGCACAGTATGTGGCATGATTAGCATTTAACAAATGTTTTATCATTCCTTCATTTGAAAATACATGCAATATTACACATTCATAATCCCCACTACATAATATGAAATTTAATAGGGATAAATGCAAAGCTTTACTTCTGAGTTTAAAAAATTTCACTAGGTGGCGCAAAGGATAGAGCACTGGCCCTGAAGTCAGGAGGACCTCAGTTCAAATTCGACCTCGGACCAAGCACTTGACACTAGCTATGTGACCCTGGGCAAGTCACTTAACCCCAACTGCCTTAAAAAAAAAATTCACAAGTACAAAACAGAGGAGACATGACTAGACAGCAGTTCATCTGAAGAAGATCTGGGAGTTATAACAGACTATAAGCTCCCTGAGTCGACATTGTGATACGGCAATCCTTGCCCTCATACCCTCGCCATCCCCAGCCAAAAAACCTCCCAAACTACTAATACTTATGTAAGGTAGACACAACAAGTATTATCATCATTCTCATTTTGCAGAAAAGGAAACTGAGGTTTAGAGCATTTAAGTGACTTGCCCATAATCACCCATAGTGTCAAAAGTGAGATTTAAACCCAGGTCCTCCTAAATCCAAATGCAGTATTTCCTACCCTTCTGAAATTATCTCCAATTTATCCTGTGTGTTTTTTGTACCTAGTTCTTTGCAAGTTATCTCCCCCATCTCATCGTGAGCTCCTTGACAGCAGGACAGAAAATTTTTGCCTTTCTTTGTAGCTTCAGCACTTGGCATAGCGCCTGGCACATAGGAAGTACTTGATAAATGCTTATTGACTATATCACGCTGTGATATAAAACAGAGACTAAAGATTATGCTTGGCCCCAGACGATAGAATAAGAAACAATGGGCTAAATTTGCAGAGGTAGATTTTATCTCAATTTAAGGAAAAATTTCCCCAGAATTGGCAATTATCCTCTAAAGTAGAATGAGCTGCTTCTGAAGGTGGTAGTTGTCCCCTTACTAGAAATATATAAGTAAAGGCTGTTGAACCAACCACTCTCCAGATACCACTCAACAAGCATTTATTAGATAGCTACCGTGTCAAGCACTGTGTTATGTCGTGGAGATAAATGGACAAAAATGAAACAGTCCTTGTTTCTGAGGAAGTTACATTCTATAGGAGAAGACAACATGTATGTAAAGAAGTATCTACAAAACATATAAAGATAAATTTATGGGGGCAGTGGGGAGATCAGGAAAGGCTTTACAAAGAAGGTGATGCTTGGGCAAAATTTTGAAGGAAACAAGAAATCTGGTAAGAGTGCATTCCATGGGGCAATTAGGTGTCACAGTGGATACAGCACTGACCCCTAAGTCAGGAGGACCTGAGTTCAAATGTGACCTCAGACCAAACACCTGACACTTACTAGCTGTGTGACCCTGGGCAAGTCACTTAACCCCAATTGCCTAACCAAAAAAAAAAAATTGAAAAAAAAAAAAGAGTGCATTCCAGGCAAAGGAGATGAGTCAGTGCAAAAACACAGAGGCAGGAGATGAATGAAGTGTCCTGTGTGAGAAACAGGAGAAACAGCAAGCAGGTCTGTTTGCTTGCAACACGGGCATAGGAAAGGGCCGTATAGATATATAAGGTGGAAAGGTAGGTTGAGGCCAGGTCGTTAAAGGTTTTAAAAGCGAAGAAGAGCTTGTATTTGGTTTTGGAGGCAATAATTCCATAAATAGGACTTTCTGGGTTGTAGTGTAAAAGGAATTCACATTCAGGCATGGGTTGAACTGGACAGCCTTTAATCCAGGGGTCAAATGAACTTGTTTTTATTTTTTTATAGTTTAATAGCTTGTATTTCAATATAATTTGTTTTCTTTATAATCTTATCTTTAAAAAAATGTACGCATGTGAAAATGATTCTTGAGAAGGGGTTCATTAAGAACCCCCGCCCTTTTCCAACCCAGTCTGGGAGTCTCCTCTTTGATGCTTCCTTGACAACTGCGTGATCTGTGGGCTGGAGGAATGGGAGGAGGGGCGTTAACCAGGGGGATTAGAAGAGGACAGAACGCGGTGGGGAGGGTGCTGAGAGATGGGTGGGTGTGAAGGAAGGGAAAGAGAAGGGTGATGGGGTGAGGGATGCACCGGGAGAGACGAAGGCGGGGCTCTCGGCGGATCAGGGCGGGAGGGGGGCCGGGGCCCTGCACGCGAATGGGAGGGGTCGCTCGAGAGTAGCACAAGGGATGAGGAAGCGAGTCCTAAGTCGGCCCGGGGACCCGCGCTCACCGATAGAAGGCCGCTTCCCCGAGGGGGTTCCAGTCCGCAGTGTAACAGTCCATGGCTGCGCCCAGATCCCCCCCACACCTAGGGCGTCCACTCAGCTCCAAAAAGCTTCCCTTTTCGTCCAGCCGCTAAACTTCCGCTTCCGCCCGTGGTCATCACGTGACGACGCCGAGGACGCCATTGCCGCTGTGGGCTCAGACTTGGCTCCGCCTTCTTCATGGCCCCGCCTCCACTCGGCCTCGGTCACGCCCCCTCGCCTACCCCCTCCCTGCCGAGCCTGCCTACCGCTGCACACCCAGCTCCAGACCCGCCCTCCATTCAATTCAATTCAGCACCTGCTGCGTGCTGGCCCCCAAGGTAACAAGGAGGGAGAAAATACTGCTAGCTCTGACCCTACACTCTGCCTGCGAATAGCGGGGACAAGTATACAAATGGCTATGCCTGATATAAGGGAGAGTGAGATAAGAGCTATGAACCCGTCCACGGGGTGCTGTGGGGCATTTGAGAGGAAAATCAGGAAGGCTTCGTGAAAGAGGTGACCCCCAAGCTGGTCCTTGAAGAAAGGAATAGATAATGGTCCTGCCCTCCCTTGGGAGGAATTAGAGGTGTCAGATCCCTGGGCGTGCATCAGCTTCCCCTCCCCCCCAGCAGCTGAGGGCCCTAAGTTTGGAGTCTGGGGATTCCTGGGGTTGTGGGAGAGTAGGGCCAAAGGGGGAAGACGCTTATGGGGTGTGCTAATATATTTTTAAAAATCTAGTCGTTTATATTATTTCATTTTTTAAAAATTAAGTTTCGTTTTCGGTTCTTTAGCGTGACGAATAAAAATAATGTCTTTTACGATTTAGCATCCAAAAATATTCGTCTTAAATAAAATTTCCTGAGTGCACGCTGTAAGGAAATGTGCTGCGCACGACTGTAGGGGGCGGGAAGAGAAGTGAAGGGAATCTTGGAAATGAGGTTTACCGTAAGGAGGAGGGGCAGGCACCAGGTGGAAAACCTAGGAGGGGAGGGGTAAAGAACGGGGCGGGGGCGAGGGCGAGGGCGAGGGCGAGGTGAGGGAAGGGTAGAGTACTGCATCCAGCCCCCGGAATCTAACATGGATTGATCCTCTTAAGATTCCCCAGATTTGGGAGGGTGAGGGGAAGATGCACTGTGAGAAAAATCTGCCTTTTACTAACTACCAGCTGGATTCGAATCCCAGGCTACAAAACCTGGGCTGTCTTCTTGGCAGGAGATAGCTACGATTCTCCACGAATAATCTCAGAAAGCAAATAATCTGCCCCAAGAATGGTTAGTGATTAATTGAATAACCAGATTTTGAAGAAAGTAAAATGGGTGGAGAGCGGGAGGGGCACTGGGGGGGCCACAGAAAAGCCCCTCCCCTCCCCTTCCTTTCCGGGCAGTCCGGTCCTCTCCTCCCCTCTTCCCTCCCCTCCCTCTTTCTCCCCCTCCCCCTCTCCCTCCCTGCCTTCACTCACTGCTTCCTCCTTCTCCACCACCTCCAGGTTGCCCTCCCGGATCTCTCTCGCTCCCGATGATAGATAAATAGGGGTGAGCATCGGGCTGGAGCATCCCAAGCACGTGGGGGACGGACCCTTCCGAGGGCGGCGGACCGAGTGAAGCTGGAGCTCCAAGTCGGTAAGTGCCAGGGGAGGTCAGGGAATCGAAACTGAAAAGATCTTCAGATATTAACATGGTAAAGCCCCTGTACTGCAGCCCACCCCCGGAAAAGGAAACTGAGCCCACAATAAGACAGTGGAGCTCAAAGCCTGAACCTAGCCTGGATGTCTGATTCTCTATGGCACACCCCTACCCCCCCCCCCCCCCCCCCCCGGGTCCTCCAGCACCCCCCCCCCCCCCCCCCCCCCCCGGGAGGGGCAAGAAGCTAAACTCTACCCTTCCGCCCCACCGGTACCAACCCCCCTTCCTCTTCTAGATCTGAGGAGCCTGCTCAACCACCCCTCCTTCACCTCCTTCATACCAGCTGAGTTCAGCCAAGTGCCCCCAGTCCTTGCCAGCCTAGTTATCTGTCACCCTCAGGCACCATGGTTCATTTCTTGTCGTCAGATGTCCAGCAGTTGCTGCACAACAAGTTTGTGGTTGTCCTGGGAGACTCCAGTGAGTTTGAGGACCTTCTTCTGCTTTTCCACTTTTTCTCGCCCCTGTCTGCCCTTGGCTGCATCCCCAACAACCCTCCTAAGTCTGTCAGCCAGCATGTCCCCATACTTCTGGGCCTCCACTGTTCTCAGTGTGTCTGTCCTTATCTGTGGCCTTTTCTTCCCCAAGGAGAGGGGCTAGGGGAGGAGGGCTCCAGGGTATGGGGCTCTGCCTCAGCTCTCCCTCCCCCACCATCTCCTTTCTCCTCAGTCCAGAGGGCTGTGTACAAGGACCTGGTACTTCTGTTGCAGAAAGACTCCCTACTGACGGAAGCCCAGCTCAAAACCAAGGTGAAGGGTTATCTTGGGAGAAGGAGGGATTAATCCAAGGCCCCTGGATTTGATGGGAACAGCCTGGGGAGAGGAAAATCCTGGGCAAGGTGTGTGTGTGGGAGGGGTGGAAGTCTTTTCAAGGCCATCATTGGCCATGTTTGTAGGGTTGTTAACCAGTGTGTCTCATATCCAAAGGCAGTATCCCACTTTCTGCCCTGGGCCTGGCTGGTATGATTGGCAGATCCCCTGTTTGGGAGATAGGGGGAGAGAGGATGACCAAGGTGTGGTATGGCTAATGAATCTATTGACACTGTAAGGCCTATGTCTGGATTAGGGGGAGCTGAGCTTTGAGCAGGACCGTCTGCTGGCAGGGGGACAGCTGGGTGAGCTACACAATGGGACTCATTATCGCGAGGTCCGCCAGTTCCTGTCCAGTTCAGGCCACCACCTTCTACGATTCTATTTTCTCACCCGAGTCTATTCAGCTTATGTAGAGGATATCCTGACTGAGTTAGAGAATGGACCACCTCCTGACCTGGTCATTATAAACTCCTGCCTCTGGGACCTCTCCAGGTGAGAAGAGAGAGAGGTATACAAGCACTGAGGCTGCCTGCTTTCCCTTTCCCACCCCTTCCCCTCTGGGATTCAAGTACAAACCCCTAGACTGAATACAAACCACAAACCCCTTGACCTGTATTCTTTTTGTATCTGTGACATTTCCAGGTGTGGCAGGATTTGAATACTTAAGTCTTCCCTATAGGGAGCGCCCTCCCCTATACACGCTGGTCCTTCCTTAAGACCCTGAATCTTCCCATACATGTGTATTTTGGCCTCTAGGTATGGTGGTGATGCCATTAGAAGTTACCAGGAAAACTTGGAATGTTTATTTGAAAGGATGGAACAAGTGCTGCCCTCCTCCTGCCTTCTGGTGTGGACCCTGGCTATGCCGCTGGGTGAGCGCATTACAGGAGGCTTTCTGCCGCCTGAGGTGAGAAGGCTTGAGATTCTCCTCACCCCCCTATCATTGGGGCCTAGCCATATCTATATCTATGCCACGTCAGCCCTGCATTTGGGGGGAAGAAGGCCCTGAGTCTGTTGTGCATTCCTCAGCTTCAGCCAGGGATGGGCTCTCTACGTACGGACGTGCTGGAAGCAAACTTCTACTGCTCAGTGCTGGCAGATGAGCACCGCTTCGATGTGCTCGACTTGCATTTCCACTTTCGACACGCAGTTCAGCATCGACGTTTGGATGGCATCCATTGGGACCAACATGCGCACCGCCACCTCTCACAGCTATTACTGGCCCACGTGGCTGAAGCCTGGGGAGTGGAGGTTCCCCGACGGGGCCCCCCTTTTGGTGAGCTACCTCCTCAGAATGGAGGGGAGGGATAAAGAGGCTCTAGAGGAGAAGGGATGGGTTCATTTCTTCATCAGAAAAAAAAAAAAGATCATGAGACAGTGTATCAACCTTGATATGTGAGATCCAAAAATTCAAAATTAGAAGGGTTTTCTCAAAGTCACAAAGGTAATAAATGGCAGAGCCAGAATTCAGCCTTTCTTTCCAGCATACCACACCACATACCATATCTCTACTGGATCCCTAATAGCATAGTTATCCCTTCCACGTCTTGGGGATTAGGGGTGCAGAATCCCTTTGATCTGGAAAATCTGCATAATTTTTTTTGGCTTTCCCTTTGTACCAGGAAAGAAGACTGATTTTTTCTTTTTCTTTTATGGGATATTTACAGTACCTTATTGTAAAATTTGCATTAAGTATTTGGTCCTTGGCTGTGTCATCTGCTAGCCTTCATGTGTCATCTGAGGCTTCTACAAAACTCCCCCAAAATTCCCATTTAATTTCTTATGCCAACCCACGATATATTGAAACATCAATGGGGAAAGTTGCAATGTGGAAGAGATAACTGTGGTGTGGGCCGGGCATTGAGAGGGATACCCTGGCCATGGAGAGACAAACTCTGCCCTCGGGTAGCTTCTAGTCTAGTGGGGAGAGAAGACCTAGACACAGTTTGTGACAATATTCAGCTGTGTTAATACTTGTGTGAAAGGTCCTTAAAGTCAGGGATGTCAGTTATACTATTATCCAGATGAGGGATGAAGAGGTGATGAGGGCCTGAAGTAGGAGGGTAATTGTTAAATGGAGAGGAGAGGAGGGATTGGAGAGAGAAGGTGTGGAGGTTGAATTGACAGGATTTGACAACTGATTGGATACGAAGGAAAGGGAAGAGTGAAAGATCTCTCTGAGGCTAGACTGAGAGGTGGTGCCATCAACAGAAACCCAGAAAATCAGGAATAGGCTTTTTAGGGGACAGTTTTGGACACATTGAATTTGAGTAGTGCTGGACTATCAGGGTAGAGATGCCTACCAAAAAGTTGGGAAGGTGGTGCTAGAATTTGGAGAGAGATTAGAGTTGGATATAATATAGATTTAGGACTATCCAAAAGGAGTGATCAACAGGGTTAAAAGCACAAAGGTCAGAAAGGACTAAAATAAAGGCCATTGAATTTGACAATTAAAATGAGAGGGTAACCTAGGAGGGGAGATGTGGGTGGGGGGGAGAGAAAGGCAAGTGAAGAGCTAGGGGACTTAAGCCATGTGAAAAAAGTTTGGAACAGAGATGGGGGGAGGGGAATCCAGGGCTTTGCTATCCTTGTCTGAACTGATACCCCCTTTCAGGGGAGTGGAGTCAGGAGCAGTCATCCCTAGAATATCGAGGCCAAAGGTCCAAGGGGGCTCCATCCTGGAGGCATCCAGCCCAGCCATCTGAGGGGACTTTGGCACCCTGGAGACATCTACCCCAGGGAGCAGAGGAACCTCATTTTGGGAATCGGTCATCACTTGCAGCCCTGGAGTGGTCCCCCTGGGAGCAGCCAGTACAAGGGACCGAGGAGTCTGCATCCTGGAGATATTCATCTCAGAGGACTAAGAGGTCTCGTTCCTTCCAGCCAGTAGCCCAACAGACTGATCGTCCTGTGACCTGGCCAGATAGGCAGGTCCAGCCTCCGTTCCTGCCTCCATCCCAAATCCTGCCCTTGCCCCTACGCCCCCCCCTCCCTTCACCTCAAGTCCTGTCTCAAGACAGCTGCTTCTTCTCAGATAATCCTGTCCTGCCTGGTTATTCCCCCCTCAACTATACAGCCTTCGGTGATCCCTTACCTCCTCCTACTGGTAAGTGATTTCTTTCTCTCCCTCCCCAAGCCCTGGGAACAGGGTGAGTGGGGGTAAGAAGGATTAAAGTCCCCATTTGGCCCCTGGAAGATGGGAGAGTGACCTTCTCCTTTTCTTCCATCCAGGAAAACTGGGCTCTAAAACAGTAACACCCTTATTCTTCCTTTTTTGACCCACCTAACACTACTGGGAGGGGTCTGAGTAACTAGGTGTGTCAGATCAATCCATTTTTTATCGATAAGGAAACTGAGGCCCTACTGGGCAAAGAACCTTTTTGTCCAAGGTCCCAAAATGGAGGTAAGTGACCAAGCCAATCTCTTGTGACTGACCCCTCATGCCTTTTTTTTTTTTTAAATATAGTGTTGGATTCCACACCTGTTCCCCGGCCTCTTGCCCCGTCTCTTCCTCGCTATGGACAGCACCACAATCTGGTAATGCGACATGTCCAGCGCCATGTGCCTCATGGTCCCTATAACCGATCAAGGGAGAGAGGCTTCAGTAGACAGTGGTCCAGACCTGGCCAAAAACAATGAACGACCTACTTCCTGACCAAGGACGTGGCTGGACATACTGACTTCATAGCCATGGGCAGATTGCCCTTCCTATGGACGTAGCCAGATGGTTTGATTTTCATGAGTCTATCTCCTGTTTTTTACCAATAAAGATATGCCCTCATGCTGGGGCAAAAGAACCTATTTCTGGTATGTGGCCCTCTACTACTCCCACTACTGTGGCCCCATTATCCAGTGTTTCTAGTATCTCGTGCCAAATAACGTTTACATCTAGAAGCAGCTAGATGGCACAGTGGATAGAGGCAGGGCCAAGAATCAGAAAGTTCAAATCCAGCTTCTAACTGTGTGACCCTGGACAAGTCATTTAACCTGTGGTTACTTTGGTTTCCTCAACTATAAAATGGGTTTTTAAACCTACCTCAAAGTGTTGTTGCTAGAATCAAATGAGATACTTGTAAAGTACTTAGCACAGCACCTGACATATAGTAGGTGCTATATAAATGCTTATTCCTTTCTGTCTTCCTCTTTCCTTTTCTTTTCCCCTTCCCCTTCCCTGGTCCAGGGAAGTGGCATGGCTCTAAGCCACAGACTGACCCTTGATGTATACATAGCTGGGCAACATGACCTTTCATGGACATAGTTGGAAAGACTGATACCAATGGTAATGGACACAGCTGGATAGACAAATATTCTGGAGAACTGTTTATACCAAATTGTAAAGGAGTAACAATCTATCAATGGAAAGAGTACACACATGAACAAAATCACAGATCTCTGAAATATTCAATTGCAATGAATGTTAATTAAGTCCCTGTGCTGTTCAAGAACCTTTATTATGATTTTTGGGAGCACATTCATAAAATGTTGAAGCTGGGAGGAAGATTAGAACAGGGAATGTCAACAGTCTCCTCCCCCACCCAAGATGATAACTCTTTGAACCTTTCTAATGCACTTATCCTATGATAATTGTGTAAGGAGAATCCCCTAATTTCATTTATGGGCTGGTGAGCCTTCTCTCTTGTCTTCTGATTTTTGAAAGCATAGAGGGTACAGATATGCCTAGTACCTTGTAAAATCAGAGGCACCTTCTGATTGTTGTTTGTCCTTCATTCTTGAAGAGGACCAATGACATTTTAAGGGTGATGATTTGCGAGTGAATGGGGTATGAGTGGAGCAGAGCTGCCCAACGTCATCAGCCTCACTCTTTCCTCTGGAGTCATTGAAGTGCCATGGCAAGACAAAGGTCAAGACCAATGGCGATAGACCATGATGCAATGGATGACCTTGGCCTTTCTAGGTTAAGGTCTTTTCCAGGTCTCAGTTTGTTTGTAATTTCTGATTAGATCTCTGCATCTTCCAATTAGATCTCATTTGAGGGTCAGTAGATGAATTGGTATGGGGCAGCGAGGTGGCACAGTGGATAGAGTGCTGGGCCTGGAATCAGAACCTGAGTCCATATCCAACGTCAGACACTTTACTAGCTGTGTGACCCTGAGCAAATCACTGAAACCTGTTTGCCTCAGTTCCTCATCTATAAAATGAGCTGGAGAAGGAAAAAACAAACGATTCCATGATCTTTGCCAAGAAAACCCCAAAGAGGGTCATGAAGAGTCAGATGTGACTGGACCAACAACAAAAAAGATGAATTATTTGGGTTGAAGGCGCCTTTCCCTACCCCACCTGCTAATGGGATAGGTGGCTAGGATTTGGTGACTAGGGCTAACCCCCTAATGAATGGTTTGGCATGAACTTGAGAAGATAGGCACCACTTTGCTTAGTACCCAGGCATCCTGGCACTTGTCCTTTAGTTCCTCCTGTCTCCCTCAGCCCCAGCTGCTGGGCTGGCTGGCCTTGGCATTCTTTGAGCTTTGACTATGGTCCAATAGTATAGGCCTCCTTGAGGAGGCCTGACCCCCTTCCACAAAGTTAGACAGGTTCTGATTCTTAACCAAAGCTATGCAGATGGTGTGGAAAGAGACCTAATCATCGAGTTAGGGGGACCTGGCTTCCTATGCAATTTCTAAATATGCCACAGACTTGCTATAGCTCTGAGACTCCCTTTCAGGGCCTCGGTTTCCCTGCTGGCAAAGTGCAGGACAGGGCAGCTAGATGCCTCAGTAGAAAGAGAGCCAGACCTGGAGTCAGGAAGACCTGAGTTCAAATATGGCCTCAGACACTAGCTGTGTGACTCTGGGCAAGTCACTTAACCTCTGTTTGTCTTAATCCACTGAAATGGCAAACCATTTTGCTGAGAAAACCCCATGGACAGTATGGCCACAGTGTGAATGGGAAGGGTAGGGAGGGATGACAACATGCAAGTAACTATATACCTGATATATAGATGGTAATTTGATAGTGCTGAAGAACAAAAACAAAGTGGCTGGCAAACTACAGCCTGAGGAACATCAAGTAACAGTCAGACTGTTTTGGGGGCCCATGAACTAAGAATCGTTTTTACAGTTTTAAATACTGTAAAACTATTTTAAAAATCTAAAAACCTTTCTTAGTTGGCTGGTCATAGAAAAACAGGCCTCTGAAGGACCATAGTTTGCTGACCCCTGAATGAGACAGTCACTAAGAACCCTTGTAGCTCTGATAATCTGTGATTCAGTCTCCCCCGACCCATTGGGTAGGGTAGGCCTTCCTTCTCTCTCCCCTAACTCCACAATCCTTTCCTATCTTCCCATCTGCCCCCTGAGCAATTTTGGGAGGAGCAGACCTTTGAGTTTCCTGAGAGGAACAGTCAGAGGACCTGCCTAATGTAGTGATTGTGCCAAATGATTAGTTTAACCCCAATTTTATTCCAATCGGCATTATTCAGTTTAGTGTGATTCCACGGGGGTAGTGATTATTTCAGTTATACTCGTATATTAATACACATTTAGTTTAATCAACTAATAATAATGCATATTTTATATATCTTATATTTAGGGCTAATTAGATCAGGTTAGATAGATTCTTTCTCATATTAGGTCTCTAGGCCTCAGAACTTTAAACTATGATATAAGTTCACTTGCTTAACCACAGGAAGACCTCCACCCTTTTAGCCTGATGAGTAAATGACCAAGCCCATCATAAAGGAGATGGCCTAATGATATGGAAAATCCCCAACTATTTTTGTTGCCCCCTGCCCTTCGTTATCTGTCTCTATTGCCTATCATGGGGAAATGACTATGAGCGCTTAGCCAACAGGTTACCCTTACCCTGCTAATATTTTTGCTCATATAGATGATTTGTCATTATGGCCATCAGCCCTTGCTCATCCCATGACAATTTCTGTCCAAGGCTGTCATCAGCCCTAGATTGAATTGTACTGCATATTCTATTGAAGAGTCAAGGTATAGATCTGGAGAGTCAAATGTATAGGTCTGTCAACCAGTGAAATCCTGTATTTTACTGTATCATCTAGAATGTCTCTGTAACATCTTGTCAAACACTGTAAAACCAAGGCCGTGGAGAAAGGGGGCATTTCATTCCGATCATAGAAAGATCTGAGGTCCTATTCATTAAAGAGGGCCAGGTCCCTTTAATAAATGGTTATTGGCTCAGAGCTCTGCCTCGGCATTTTTTTTTTTTTTGCAGATTGGACGTTTTGGGGCCTACAGAATCCTTCTAAGACCCTAATATATGCCTACCCAGAGTTAGAGCATGGCAAGGGGAAAGAGGGACCCTTCTCTGGTTACCTTCCCCTTGGGTCACATGGGGCCACTCCTGGGAATGTTTGGTCTGGCCTGAGTCCTTTTCCTTCCATTACTCAGTGTTTTCAACTGGTAGCTAAGTCCAATGGATATGGAGTCGGAAGACTTGGGTTCTTTTTTTTTTTTCCATAATGATTTAATATTTTCCCCCCAATTACATGTAAAAACAATTTGTAACATTCTTTTTCTTTAAATTTGAATCCCAAATTCTCTCCATCCCTCCTTCCCTTTCCCCCCACATTGAGAAGGCAGGAAATTTTATATAGATTATACATGAGCAGTCACACAAAACACTTCCATGTTAGTCATGTTGTGAAAGAAAATACAGACTCCCGCTCCCCCTCCCCCCAAGAAAAAGAAAGTAAAGAAAAAATATGCTTGGATCTGCAATGAGACTTCATCAGTTCTTTCTCTGGAGATGGATAGCATTTTTCATCACAAGTCCTTTGGAATTGTCTTGCATCATTGTATGGATGAGAAGAGCTGTCGTTCACAATCCAAGGACTTGGCTTTTAGTTCTAGCTCTTCTTTCTAGTACCTGAGGGACCAGGGGCAGATCTCTTCTCTGTGGGCCTCCTCCACTAACGGGATAAATGAAAAAGCATTTACTAAGTGCTTATGTGCTAAGCCCTGGGGACAAATACAAAAGCCAGACAATTCCTGCCCTCCAGGAACCTACTAATCGATTGGAGAGTTGTAGCCTGAAGGTCCAGATTTTGGCCCAGGAAGTGTCTCCACTGACACACCTCTTTTTTAAAAAATTAATTTATTTTGATTTATCAACAATCACTTCCATAAGCTTTTAAATTTTTAAAGTTTTAAATTTTTATCCCCCTCCCTCTCCAAGATGGCATGCAATCTGATACAGGCTATACATATACATTACAATTAAACATATTTTCACATTAGTGATGTTGTAAGGAAGAATTAGAACCAATAGGAGGGACCACCAGAAAGAGGAAACAAAACAAAACAGAAAATAAAATAGCAAATAGTATGCTTCGATCTGCATTCAAACTCCACAGTTCTTTCTTTGGATGTGGATAGCGTTTTTCATCATGAGACCTTTGGGGATGTTTTTGATCCTTGCATTGCTGAAAAGGACTAAGTCTATCAATGTTAGTCATCACACAATGTGGCTGTTACTGTGTACAATGTTCTCCTGGTTCTGCTCACTTCACTCAGCATCAGTCCATAAAATCTTTCCAGGTTTTTCTGAAGTCTGCCTGCTCGTCATTTCTTACGGAACAATAGTATTCTATTACATTCATATACCACAACTTGTTCAGTCATTCCCCAATTGAGGGTCATTCCCTGAATTTCCAATTCTTTGCCACCACAAAAAGAGTTGCTATAAATATTTTTGTACATGTGAGTCCTTTTCCCATTTGTATGATCTCTTTGGGATACAGCCCTAGAAGTGCTATTGCTGGGTCAAAGGGTATGCACATCTTTATAGCCCTTTGGGCATTGTTCCAAATTGCT